AATTGCTCATCCCTCCCCGCTCCCTCCAGCCGTATTATCCCCTCCTCGAGGCCTGGGGATGGTTATTTTTTGCCAATGTTTTTCCCAAGCTTGGTATCTAAATGCTCCTCAGGGTTTAGCATCTCACAGCAGGGAGACCAAGCAGGAGGATTCCCCTTCTAGACAGATAAGGGTATCGTGAATTTTCGGTTAAATTGGAAATTTTTGCCAAGAAACAGCTCCTGGGCGAGTGACGATCCCTATACCTGTTGCACTGTCACCACCAGCTTCTCCATGCAACTTGCCTAGAAAGCCAGGAACTGGAGCTAAGCATGGTTTGATTATATTATCATAGAATCATTGAATGCTTTGGCTTGGGAGGGATTATGATATTATTATTATCACCATAATCATCATCATCATGGTATATTATATTACATAGATATATTTTCTAGTAAATTATATTCATAGAACCACAGAATATCTCAGGTTGGAAGGGACCCATAAGGATGGAGTCCAATTCCAATACATTATATTATCATATGATATGATATATATATATATTTTTACATTCCCCTGGGAGCTAGAAAATAGCAAACGCCGGTCATAGGGCATGGCCTTGCTCAGCTAGTGCAGAGCAGCTCTGGGGGGCGGCAATGACTGCTTGCTGATGTTGAGACCCCTGCTCCGATGATGGGGCCAAGTCACCCCGTGGGTACAGTCACACTGACCCTGGCCACACAGCAGCGATAGCCAGGGGCTCAGTGAGGATTATATGGGATTATATGGGGTTATATGGGCTTTTCCCCCACTATAGAAGTGGGGAAAGGGAAGGGCCCCTGTCCCCGGTGTGGCTGGACAGCTGTGACATAAGCAGGGTGGTCGCCAAACTCGGGACAAGCTGCTGTACATCTAACATAAGCGACCGGCCTTTCAAACAACAGGGAATGAGTCCTAAAAGTCATAATTTCAATTTCAGGAGTTCCAGAGGCAGCAAATTCAAGGTGGTCGCTGTAACAGGCAGTGTCATTTAACTGTGTTGCAGACACACCAAACCCAACGCCATAATTAGCGATGCAAAACAATTGCAGCCCAGATCATACATATTTAGCCAGAAGCTGGAATTTTATCTCCTTACAATTTTACCAGCCTGTAAAGGCCTCTGAGTGTAGTTTTTTCCCCCCGTTTTGCTTGGTCCGGTTTGCAGAACCAAACGCTCGACACTGTCAGGAGGGGAGCTGGGGATTTTCTCTGGGAGGGCAGAGGGGTTTGTTGGGGCTTGAGCAAAACCCCATTGCTTGCCTGAGTTCAGGCCGGTGCTTTGCTTTTGTGCTCCAGTATCCAAACTGACCCGCTGCAAGGCTGGCACCGAGACCCACGTTCACCCAAAATGGATCCACAAAGGGGGAAAAAAAAAAACCCAAACCCTCTCTTTAATATGCGGCAGGCGATTGCAGCTTCGTTCTCCGCAAGTATAACGGCACATTGATACAGCTGCCAGAAAAACTTGGTAAAAATAGTTGAAAACAAGAGAAACAAAGGCGGTCGTCACATTTGGAGTCGCATGATCTCCGCTCAAGTGCTGCCTTTGAGAGGCCTCCTTTGCACGCCGGGCAGGGACGCCGCTGCCGGTCAGGGCTTGGCCGATGCACAAGCAAATGCCAACCGGGATGCGCCTGCCAGCTTTCCTAGAAATAAATGAATCTGTGCCTCAATCTGGTGGGCTCTGCAAGGAAGGGATCTTGTCCTGGCGCATCCTTTCCCAAACCTGCCTCTTGCTGGGATAGGGGTGGGAGTGGGAGGTGGCAGGTGCTGGATTCAGGTGCAGGTCAGAGAGCACAGCATATTTATGGCACCCATGAAGGTTATCATGTTAAAATGATTCCTTAAAACCAAAATAATTTAAGAATTTCTAAAGTCACGACCTTAAGCCAGGGTTTCCCTATCCAGCCTATGGACAGACGGGCAGGGAGTGGTCGCTCCAGGGAGAGGGGACCCTGGAGACCCGTAAGGGTCTGGGTACCGAAATCCATGCTGGGATGGGGACCAGCGTCAGTGTTTACCCAGCGGCTTGGCAGGGGTTTGCCCTCTGTACTCCCCCCTCGTTTTCAGCCTCCTCCCAGCGCCCCAATGGCTGTATTCGGTACAACCCAGTACATAAGCTCCTAAAACAGCAGCATGAATGCTTTGAGGTTGCTTTTCCCTGTCAGCACGGGGTGTTTTAAACACCAAGTTTGGTTTGAGCCGCTTGCTGCTTCTTGGATCCAGGTTCTCCTGATTTACAACCAAGTGCTGGGCAAGAGGGGCAGCTGGAGGGGCAGCAAGGGGCAAGGTGAGGGGGCTGGGGACGGGGAGGCTGCCTGGCCCAAGCTGGGCGCTGGCCCCATGAGGGAGGCAGGACTGGAATGGTGTTGGGGGCCTCTGCCCTCCTGCCCCTAGCTCCCCTCCAGTACCTCTGGTTGCCCTCCCAGCTCCCCTGATCTCTGCAAATGC